GGGAGAGGGGAGAGGGGAGAGGGAGGAAGACAAATGGCTAGTCATATGTCTATTCTGATCTTAATCTAGAATACTGAGCAAGAAGCAGCTCTTAGGCCAGATCTCTTTCAGTCTGAGCTGCCAATCACAGAAAACAGAGGGGGGTGTGGCACTTGATTGTGTGTAATGGCACAGGAGTTAGAGAAAGCACCTAAGGTCTCAGTTCATTATGCAAAGTCCCTGCTGGGGCCCAGCTAATGGCCTTTTGTTCATATCCCTTTCATTTGCATTCTACCAAAATCATTCTTAGGATCCTAACACCAAATTCAATATGATGCTAGGGCTGTTAAAGATACTTATTCCAACTGGGAACTCATTCAATAAATGTGCACTGCAATGGCATATCAAGGGAGGAGGAGATGACAGTGGTTTGCCTGGGTAGGAGGGGTATTTCATCACAGTCATTTGTGCAGAATTACTATCACATGGCGATAATAAAAAGCAGACTGACTTAGATATGTTGTTTTTTAACTTTACTACCAATGACTGACTGCACCTGGGCAGACCACTCCCACCCACCCACCTTAGTATATCCATGATGTATTCAATGGCTACTAGATGCTGGATACTCTGCTAGGCCATAGAGATACTGCAGTGAACAAGCCCCTACTCTTGAGGAGCTTACATTATAGTTTAGTGGAAGAGACAAAGAAACAGATGAAGATGATCTTAGCTGATAGCAAGTGCTACGAATTAAAGAAGGAAGGATGGTAGTCAGTGGCAAGGTGGCAACTTTGGATTGGATGTTTGAGGAAATTTCAGTTACACTGTCTCGAAGGACCCAGCCATGCAAAAATAAGGGGAAGAGCATTTCAGAGAGAAGACACAGCTAATACAAAGACCCTTCCCAGTATGGGAAGGGCACAGTGAGCAAGAGCTGGGATGATATGAGGGCAAAGAGGCAGGTAGGGTCCTAGGTGAATTGCTTGGGGAAAGTTAGGAGTGGAGACAGATTTAAGGGGGAAAACAAGTTTTGCTTTGGTTGTGTTATATTAAAGGTGCCTTATAGACATGCAAATAAAGATGTTGGTAGGAGTTAGAAATGTGAATCTGAAGTTCAAGGAGTGGTCAGGGCAAGAGACAGCTATGGGCTGGCCAAGAACACCAAGAAATATCCATAGATCAAGTTCTAAAGCACTGACATTTAGAGGTTTAGCAGAAGTGGAAGATCCAGCAAAGGAGGTGAGAAGCAGCAGCCAATAAAGTGGAATGAAAACCAGGTAAGGGTGGGGTCACAGAAAAGAAAGTGTTTCAAGACGGAGGGAGCATTCAACTGTGTCAAGGCTCCTGAGAAGTCATGAAAGATAAGAAGAAAAGTGAGCACTGGACTTAGTGACATGGAGGTAACTTTAACAAGAGCAATTTCAGTGGGATGGTAGAGGTGGAATGCTGACAGAAATGGGTTGGAAAGAAAATCTGATGTGATGAAGAGGGGATGGTGACTACGACAATTCAGGATGATTTACTGTGAAGGGGAACAGAGAAATGGGGCAGTAGCAGGAAGAGAATAGGAATTGAGGGAGGTCTTTGTTTTTTTATTTTATTTTTTAAGTGGGAGATATTTGTGTGTTGATGTGATAATCTTCTGGAAAAGGAGAGACTGAAGATGGAGAAGAGAGGGAATACTTGAAAGCAAAAAGGAGGTGGGATCCAGATCACCAGTAGAGGGTGGGCCTTAAAGCAGATTCATGTGGGTAAAGATGAAGGTAAGCTGGTGGATGTGACAGTGGGAATACAAAGGCAATCTGGTCTGACAGCTTCATGGGCCTGGAGCCATGAGGACTGAAATGTGACCAATGGGAAGGTGCTATTCACAGGGAAAAATGGGAGGTGAAAATATGACTAGTACAGTCATGACTTTAAGCCCAAGTTTCAGCGTTTTGTCAAGTATGGTGCACTGTTGGGTGTCTTCTGTCTTTTGGGTGGCCTGGGGTCAAGGCACAAGGCTCAGGAGGAAGCTAATAGAGGATACAAGGAGACACCATTCAACAAATGGTGACAACCTCTGTGAACTCAGTCATGATTTCAATGTAGAATATAAACAACTCTTAGACAGAAATTGTATCTCATTCATCACTATAGCCCTAAGTCTATCAACTAACTTTAAGCATAAACTTTGGGATAGGCCTATGCTAGTCAGTAGTAACACAGATGAATGAGGCATAGCCTTAGCTCACAAGGGGTTGAAAGCATTTGAGAAATATTTATTAACTTAGTTTAATTTAATTATGTATACAATAATTACATACCCTTGCCCAAAGAGAGATTTGGCCTTTGTCCTCCATTCCTGAGACATAACCTATAAACTCAGAATTTCCTGAGTAATAGGAGTGTCTTTGTTATTCATGGTGGGGGCCCTTGGACCACACCTGATAGTGTAGGATAATGGGGTGACTCATGGCGGGCTCGGTGGGCCATATGCTATTAGCCTAACCTCCAGGAAGAGGGGAGCTGGAGACTGAGTTCTATCAGGTGATTGAACAATCAATCCTTATGAAATGAAACCCCAGTACAATCAATGCTTATGAAACGAAACCCCCATAAAAATGAATACCAAAGCTCCTGGTTGGGAATCTGTCCTATGTATTATCACATATGGATGCCAGGAGGGTAATACATCCTAAAGACAACTGAAGTTTTGTGTTTGGAATCCTCCCCAGCTCTACCCTATGCATCTCCCTTTGGCTTATTTTTGACTTGTATCCTTTCCCATAATACACCTGTGAGTATAATAGCTTTCAGGAAGTTCTGTGACTCCTTCCAATGAATTATCAAACCTGAGGGTAATTTGGGGAACTCTCTGAACTTTTTGTTGGTGTTAGGAGTGAGGGCAGTCTTGTGGAGGAGTGTGCCTTCAGACTTTGCAGTTGGGGTGACTCCATGTTTCCTGTGACAGAGTTCAAGGGGATTTAGAGATTATGTAATTTAGCTCCATTCAATAGGTGAGGAAAGAGAGGTCTACAGATAGGAAGTGACTTACCCAAGGTCACATAATGTTACAGCAGAGTAGCTATTAGCCCGTGAGTGTCCTGACTCCTAGCATGATGTGCTTTCCAACAATATTCTGTTGTAGCTTCAAATGTGAGGCTGAGCAGAGAAAAGCTTATCCTTGAACCAGACTGGCTTTGCTATAAGGGATTTTTGCAGTAGCCCCTATACTTAGGGAAGCTCATTCCTTACTAGGTTTTCTGCCTTGACTGACAGATTACTCTTTAAAATATTTAAGCTGCAATATTAATGTTTACAAAGTAAGGGGCTTGTACTAAAGAAGAGCTAATGCTTTCTGTGAGGTAGAAATAATTTTTTGTGAATTCTCTCTTTGTTACTGAACTTTTATACTTCAGAAATCATTTTCATATAATCTAAATTTTATTGCTAGAAGAAATGGTGGTAATTTTTTGGTTCAACCCTCATTTTACAAGCAAAGATGCTAAGGCACAGAAACAGGAAGACATCTACCCAAGGCCATCTCATAATTCAGGGGCAAGGACAAGGCTAAACTCAGGTAACAATAGGCAACCTTTATTGAGTGCTTCAATATACTATTACATATTTTAGATTTTCTACTTCATTTGATTCTCATAACAACCCTAGGAGATAGGTGCTATGGTTCAGATATCTCCTGAGCAATAGATAAAAATGTCCAAGGTCACAAACCTAATAAATGGAGGGTCCAGGATACAAAGTTGGGTAGTTCTTGCTTCAAAGTCTACACTCTAAGTCACTATTCTATTCTACCTCCCTAACTGAAGTAAAATTTTGAAAGAAAAATTTCTGATTTTCATTTACAAGTGATAAAACTTGAACCCTAAAAAGGGTAGTAACTTTCCCTCAGAGTCACATAGCTAGGAGAAGAGCTAGACTAGGACTCAGTTCTTGGATTGAGAGTTCTTACCATTTCACTATACAAAAGTTTAGTGGAGTGAAGAGTTGAGGGATATTTTTGAAAAGTGGGGTATCTCCTAGATTAGACTAAAGATCCTCAGGGGTCCTGGCTTTCCTTTGGCCCATTCTAGAGCCACAGGGCCTGAGGTTCCATAAAAAATTCAATGTGTATTTCCCACTAGACCAGCAGAGGGGAGGGCAGGGAAAGAAAGGAAGAGGGAGAAGACTCTGCATATCCTATCCAGGCCTGTAGATATATGACCTCTGTTCCATCCTATAACCACCCTAGTCTAAAGCAGTGGACTTGAGAATGGTTATTGGCTCTCTTTTGTCTCTTCCCTGCTGCTTACCTGTGGCTGCTGGGTGGTTAAGGGTCTCTGAGGAGACAGGGCAGGGGTCCTGGACAGCAGCTGGTTCATCTTGCTGATTACTAGTTCCGTAATGAGTTGTTTGTCTTCCACCTGGTGTTCACCAATCAGTGGCATACTGCAGTCCATGACCTGGTGGAAGACATGGCCCAGGTTAGTAAAGGGTCTGGGGACATTAAGGGCCTGGTACAGTCTTCCAGAATAAGTAGGACTTAAGCCAGCAGAAACAGGTTGGGAATGAAGCTGGTGTTCTTCTCTTCAGCTGAAAGCCGTGTTCCTTTGCAGAAAGAGGACTGTTGTCCCCTCCTCCTTCAAACCTTTGCCATGGGAAATGCCCAACCTTCACCCAAGCCAGTGCTCAGTAAGAACGAAACATTCGTTACTGAAGGTAGTGAGTGGAGAGAGGTAGAGAGCTGGATAGAGTATAGACCCAGGTCTCAGAAGTGTGCAGGCAGGGGAACACCTGAAGACCATTTCCTTAACTCTCCAGTTAGGAGCAGGCAGTTTTCATCCCTGACTTTTCATCCATATATTCTGTATCTCCACACGTACAGTGGCCACTGAACGACTAGATTCCTGCTTTGCTCATAATCTGGGATGACTTCCCTTTTTGCCCCACTCCTGATTCTTCCTGTATCTCAAGGTCCAGATCAATGTTTTCCCACTTTAGGAAGTGCCTGCCTGCCCAAGATCACAGACAGTGTATTCCAACTCTCATTTATGGATGACAAAACTGAGGCCCACCCAGAGAGGGGAGGTCTCACCATCCAGAAGGCTACATGTCAAGCAGACCATGGAGCAGATTTTGAAGCCCATTTTGGGCTCCTGACTCTAACTCTGCAAATACCACCAACTCTTGGCAAGGAGCCTTCCTTTCCTGCTCGTAGGAAGACTGGGCAGAAATGTGTGTGAAGGATTCATACTGGCACTGACTTTCCCTTTAATACAGAAAAAGGAAGTCAGCAAAGTTGTGTTTGAGGACCAGACTGAGTAAAGTGTCTCCAAGGCTCAGACAGATGCTAAGAAGAATCTCCTGCATGCAGGAGACCGGAGTTCTAGCCCAGGTTGTGACAATAATTCACTCTGTGGCCTTGAGCACAAATTCATAGTATTAGACCTCAGTTTTTCTCACCTGCAAAGTAAGTACATTAGATTGAATGATTCTTTCTGAGACCAAGAATGGTAAAAACACTACATTCTTCCCAGAGGGATGATATTTGGCTAGGAGCCCAGGAACCCAGATCTGGTATCTCTTACCTATAGTGTGGGTCTGCCTAGCTGGTTGGAAACAACAGCTCCCCACTGGTAGAGGTATTCTGCTATGTACATCCACTGGTCGTGTCATCTGAGAACCACCCCATGGTGTAACCTAAATGTAGTCTGAGCTGCCCACATAGTTATTAAGCCAAGAGCTTGGCTTCCAGCCTTGAGGGTTGTCTCTTGCTGAGATACTCCTTAAGTAAACTTACCTCAAAAATGTAGTCTTTCCCATCTTTGCCATGTACAGCTTTGACAGCACAGATGTCCAGGCCACCAAACATCTCAGAGCAGGTATCTACCCACAGCTTGTACCTGGAGGAGATGGGAATGTGTCCTGAGGCTGGAGCATTAGCTCACATCTAGCCTGCTTTCTGATCACACTCTCCATGCTGCCTCGGCCCCTATCATCGCCCCTCTCCAGCCCTCCCTCCCGCCATCCCCATCAAGCCCACTGTCTTATCTTCAGTGCCCTCCAGCTTTGCTCTCCAGATACCAGTCTTTCCAGGCTCCGAGCAGGTCTCACCAACTCTAGGTGGCCTTTCCTTGGTTATTCAGCCCATAGTAACTACTTCTTTCTTGGAGTTTCTATGGTATGTCCAGTCTTTATCTCCATAATTTAGCACATAACCCAGTCCTGCCTGATCTTTCTAACTGGCTGCTTGGGGCTTTGTGTTCTAATCTGTATGATTAGAGGCGCCCTTTGGGCAAGACCCAATTCTTACACCTCTTCATCTATGGAAGGTCCACTCTTGCTTGGCTAGGGACTGGACTCACCTGTCTGACATGGCGATCTGCTCCAGCATTGCAGAGCCAGTGTTTGTCTTCCAGTTCCCTGAGATCGATGTCCTCCTACAAGGTCCCGCCAGGATAAGACAGGCAGTAACACATATCAGCAAGAGGAGGGCATAAAACTTTCCAGAATTTTAGCTCACTACTGCTTTCCTCATCTGCTTCTCCCACAAACAGCCCAGGGGCCTGTCTGCTGAGCCTACAGCCTGGCTGCCTCTGCCAAACCCCCACCTACAATGCTTTCCTCCTCCCTATAAGAGTCTAGCCTGCTGCTCTGGCTCCATGGAGCCTTCCTGATCTTTCAAACAGATGAGTGCTTGCTCTCCTAAGAACCCCTATAGGACTTTGCCTGTACCTCCCTTTCAATCCTACACTTCCTTTTTACTTCAGTTATTTGGTCTAAGTCTTCTGTCCATAAGTCTGTAAGCCACTTGAGGGTATATATTGTCTTGTATTCCAAGCAGCCTATCCACTAAGTGTCTGGGCTGACTTCATACAGCAGTCCCCCCTGATTCACAGTTTCATGGATCAACCAAAGTCTGAACATACTGAATGGAAAATTGCAGAAATAAACACCTCATAAGTTTTAAGTTGTGCACTGTTCTCAGTAGCATGATAAAATCTACCAATCTATCCCACTCAGGATGTAAATCGTCCCTTTGTCCAAGTATCCACGGTGCATATACTCCCCACCCATGAGTCACTTAGTAGCCACCTTGGTTATCAGATCAGCTGTTGTGGTAACACAGTGCTTTAGTTCAAGGAACCCTTATTTTACTTACAAATGTTCCATTCATCTCAATTCATCTTATCACATAGGCATTTTATCATCTCACATCATCACAAGAAGGGTGAGTACAGTACAATAAGATATTTTAAGAGAGAGATACTATATTCACATAATTTTTTATTGGAGTATATTATTATAATTGCTCTATTTTATTATAGTTATTGTTGTTAATCTTTTACTGTGCCTAATTTATAAATTAAACTTTACTGTAGGTATAGGGAAAAACATAGCATATATAGGGGTTGATACTATTCATGGTTTTGGGCATCCACAGATAAAGGGGGACTACTGTATATACAAACTGAATTCTATTGATCCTGAAACACCCTCAAGGTTCTTGTGACTATCTCCCAATGGCTTCTGTACTAGCTCACTTATTCATTCATTCATTCACTCATTCATTCATTCACTTAACAATTGGTTTCTGAGGGCCTACAGTATTAGCATTGTGACTCTGGACAAGTCAGTTAGCCTCTTCAGGATTAAGTTATTTCATCCATCAAATGGAGCTGATGGAATCAAGTCACCAACCTCTTCTCTGCTATGCCTTCTGCACCCTCCATCCATGAGTATGTGTTATGTCAACTAGTCTTAGGCTAAATAAGAAGAAGATAACCTGGTTTCTGGCTTTGGATTTGCTCTTGACTGGCTGGGTGACCTTGTATGAATCACTTCACCTGACTGAGCCTCTCTTATACATGTGTAAACATAGTGTTGTTTTATCATTTTAAATAAACTGCAAAACACCAAAAATGTGCCTTTTAAATTATTAATCTTTACTCAGACACAGTAAAGAAGATGGGGATGGCCTAGGGGACAGAAAAGCCCTTACAGAGACCTTCATGTGCTAGCCTTATCACTCACTACTGATTGGAGATTGGGTGTGCTAGCCTCTACTCAGGAGTTTCCAGGAGAACCCTCCCTAGATATCTGATTTCAGATACTGAGAAACCTAGTACAGCTAGTTTTTCAGAGCCCTGAGGCGGTGCAGTGAGTTAACTGTTGTAATAACAACTCTTCACACTCCTATAGTACTGACTGCTTTCCAACATTCTTCCTTTCCAAGCCTCTCACCAGAGCTTCATTGCAAGCTCCCTGTTGTGAATAGTCTGGGATTCTTGCTTCTACTTTACAGACAAGGAGATTAAAGACTCGGAGAGGTTGGATGACTTGTCCAAGGTTGTATATCTAGTCAAAGTAGATATAAGATAAAAATCCAGGACTCTTGATTCCCTTGTGCTACCCTTACCTCTACATCCCACTACCAAGCTCAGAAAAAACAAACAACTCACAATGGAATAGCTTGCAAAATCTAAGTAGCAACACAAAGACATATGAAAATAACACTGTCTTCCTAACACTGGTATTTTATAAGTGTGTTCCTGAGACAAGGCTGGGTTCCTAAAGGGCAGAGGCAAAGAGTTACTCACTTCCATGTTCCTAGCACAGGGCCATAGTACCTAACAGTGTTCTCAGAAACTCTGAATGAGCAATAATAATGTCCTTTATACTTCCCACTTTCCTCTAATAACAGGATACAGGGCACAGATCCATACAGGCTACCTGGGGCATGTGGGAGCAAAGGGGACACTGAGAAGCCACTCAGTGACAGCTCAACAGATTCTCAGGACTTTCAGGACATCTGACCTCCACAAAACGACCCACATTATTGCCTACTGAGGGTGGAGCAGGAACAGCACCTTCTTTACACCAAATGTGGTGTAAAGGCTCTCTCTGGATCTCTAGAGTGAGAGCTGGGGAAGAAGAAAAGAATCTCAAACTTTATCTTGACTATTGCCAAGCCAATTCCTCCTTCTGAGAGCAAACGGATAGCCAACAGTTTGGGGAAAAGGAGCTGAGAGGACCTAAACATTTCCCCAAATAACTGACTGTCCCTTGCAAATAAAAAAGTAAGTAAATATTTTCTAAAGCTGCTCTGGTCACCTACCCTTTATCAATAGTTGAGGATTCTCTTATGCTTCATTTAAATTGCTTTTGGAAACTGTAATCCTTAAAAATGTGGTGTGTCTCCTTTTTAAGGATCAAGACACTCTTACTTCATTGTCATAAACATTGTGTTTATTTAGGGGATTTTTATATTAAAGGATAGGGAAGCTGCTTTCTTAGTGCCTAAGTATATTAATCTTTCTGCTTATTTTAGTTTTTTTTATAATAGTCTTTTAAATTATCCTGTCTTACACTGTGCATAATTTTAAAGCAACCCTAAATTCCTTTCTGAAGCAGAAAGACTATAAATAAAAAATTATAAACTTTTAGAAAGTAGGAATCTAGTCAATAAAGGTAAAAAAAATTTGATGCCTCAATTTTCTATAAGAGCTGTTCCCTGAATACTTATTGGGTGTCTACTACGTGCCTACTGCTACACAAGGCAGTGGTTCTGAAGAGATGACCCTTTCATTTCTGCCCAGAGAGCTCAAAGGAGAGTGATACAAATCATATGTGTGAAAAGGGCTAAACTATAGGTATGAGAAGGGAATATAGGGAAAGGGCTCCTTACTAATTCCAGCGGCAGAGAGTAGAAACACTAAAAAGGGAATAAAGGAAGAAAAATGGAAATGATGGCTAAGGGAAAAGGAAGCTACTCGACCTTGAAGTCTGCTGAAGTCATGAGTGGCAAAGATCAAACTCACATACTATAATGTTCTCTCTTTATAAAACAAACAAACAAAAGAACTACCTAAATTTTTTCTAAAAATGGGAGATTAATATTGCCAAAACTGGAATTATAATCCATTTGCATTCTTATTTTGTATATTATAGAAGATCAGTTAGTCTTGAAATATTTTCTTTTTCTAAATTCTACTAGTGGAAACCTTTAACTTTCCATTCTGGCAAATGCACACAGTTATGTGGAGAAGTCATCTATTCTCATAACCACTAGGCTTTTAATGCTCTGTGGTGTTTTTAATGCTATATATTTACACCAGAAGTTTCTTAACTTTTTCTGTGCTCTGGCAGCCTATTGAAGCACATGGATTTCTTTTAAGGTATAAAGTATATAAGATGTGTAAATGTATAAAATAAAGTACACAGGATAACGAAGAAACTAAATTGTTTAAAATAATTGTCAAAATAGTTATGAAAATGTTAAATCTGTGATGAGTAAAAAATGTTTCTTTATAAATAACAAATGTATTCACATGGGTAAATGTAATAGTAGGTCTAATAACTACCATGATTCCTTAGTAGTGATAAATGCAACTGGTATTTAGAGATATCTGTCACAACTGTATAAAAATACAAAAATCTCTGTGATTGCCTTTAGTGACAAAGTCATTCATGCTGCTGCTGCTACTATAGTCTGTTGTCTTTGTTCATAACTGGGGAGAATGCCTAATTTCACTTAAAGGCTAGTAAAAATAAATATTAATTTTATTTCTCATCTTAGTTCATGGACCCCTCCTCTGACTTGAAAGGAACCCAGGCCAAGACTTCCTGACTTGAAGGGCACCCTCTCTCTGTTCTTTGCCTTGTGGGCCAGATGAGGTTAAACTGAGAGCTGGCAGCTACCTGGAGGCTCAGATTCTCCACTGAGCTAAGGAGAAAGTGAAGAGTATCAGCTAGGAACCCACCCCACTCACATGTAAGCCTTGTAATTGTTGCCTATCTTCTGGACCCGGATGTCATACTTGGCATCAATGAAAGGCTCTGCTGTGGCGTAGGTCTGGGTGAGGGCTACCATGCTAGCAATGTCCTGGAAGTCGTAGTGGTTTTCCACTTTGACCTAATGTTGGAGCAAGGGAGAGAGGGAGAAAAGGTGACATACACATACTGAGAGTCACAAGAACCCAGGGCCTCCAAACTCATCAAGATGTTTCCCATCTAGTTGCAAGCCTGGGTGCCACATCTCCCTAGGAGAATCCTTCTCTCCAGCTTCCCTTCCTAGACTCCAAATCCACACTTACTGCAAAGGGCCCAAGGGACCAAGGAGGTGGCATGCACTCTGCTTGTTAAAAAAGGCCTGTTTGGGTAACACTCATGGCTTCAGAGGGGCCAAATCATCTTCTCCTCGGAAAGAATTCATCAATAGCAGAGAAGGAAGGAAAGTCCATAACTGGACTCTGAGAAGTACCCTTTTCGGCCTCAATCTCAAAGCACAGCAGGCCCCATCCTTACCTTGCCCATGCCTGAGTGAGCATGGCCGATCTTCACCACCACAGGGAATGTGGGCAGTGTTAGCTGAAAGCAGAGGAAAAAAGAATGAATTTATCAGAGTGTGCCTGTTTTTCTGTGTAATGTTACAAATATTTTTCTTGGGAATACCCTTGGAAGGGCCCTTTAAAGAACTAGTCCAAGCTACATGATTTACAAATTAAAAAACTGAGCCCCATCGAGTGATAGTGACTTGCCTAAGGTCACAGCACGTTAGTGGCAGATCTATAAGAACCCTGTTCTCCTACTTGGTACTCTCTACATCTTTAAAACTCATTGTTTCAATCTTCTCTGCATTAGACAAACCCGGGCAGGACTGGACCTTAGCCAAAGAGAATTTGAAAAAATGCTTCTCTGAAAGGGTGAATTTTACTGTATGTAAATTGTACCCTAGTAAACCATAATTACAAAAGGAATATATCTTTGGAACCTTAATGTCCCTTTTGTCATGTACCTCTTAGTATCCTCCCCTGCCCCATAAAACATCTAGCTTTCCTATACTGAATCTGTCTTTTCTCCACCTTTCACAGTCTCTTCACTGCTCTCCAACACCCCAAACTCAACCAACAAACAGCTTAGTATGTTATTTCTACCCAGCTTGGGGTTTGGAAGAGAGCTGTTATAAAAAGTCAATATGTTAATCATTTGAAAGAGATCCTTAAGAGAGTAAATTCTACCTTGAGGTAGCTGTATTTTAATAGAGGAATATTAAAAACTTAAGAGAAGAACTACTCTCCAATAGCAGGAATTTAAGCTGCTACAAAATGGCAGTGAAAGAAGTAATCTGGTACAGTGGAGGGAGCACTGAACTAGATGTCAGGAGACTTGCATTCTAGTCCTTTCTGCCACTTTACCTCACTGAGCCTCAGTCCATTTGCCGAATGAAGAGACCAGACTGGATGCTTTTTGAGATTCCATCCAATAATAACGTCAGACTCATTATTAGTCTAGGTGTTGTATGAAGAACCAGCTTGGACACCAAATCTCATCTTTCTCAGACAGACTCATCTCTCTTTCAATATCCTTCTTTTCAAACATCATTGCCACATTAAAATGAAAAAATGTCTTTTGTAGGAAATAATGTTGACTGATGAAAAGTCAGATTTCCATGGAAATCCTGTGTGACCAGATACTGGGAGTACCTGTTATGAGCATTTTAGTATTCCTGGCTGAGGCCAGCTGAGGTTAGCTCAAAGAGCTTCAAGGGGTTTTGGAAATCATGTAGTTCAACTCCATTTTATGAAGAAAATAGTGAGGCCTAGACAGGCAATGGTTGCAAAGCTGCCTAGTGATAGAGTCAGAACCCAGCTTCCTACTTACTAGTCTAGCACATGTGGCACCATCCTACTACAATAATCCCATGGGTCTCTGTATTTGGAGCCTTGGAGCGCTATGCTCTGGCAGAATGGACAAGGCTCCAGTTGCACTACTCCAAGTGCCTTGCTTCTTTGTTTTCTAAGCTGCCCCACCTTGTTATACATAAAGCATAGTGTCTCCAGTGAGTAGCAACATGAGATAGGAATCAGTGTAGCCTGTTGCTATCTGAAGAGGGCTCTGAGGTCCCAGGTTTATGCTAGGTAATGAGATATTCTGTGCTTTGAGCCGGCACCAAAAGCACTGTCCTCAGCCATCTGCAGTCTGAGGCCCTGGGTATGGGAAAGGGTTTCTAAAGCACTGGCTGCTTTCTCTGACATCTCTCCCCACCCCCAACTGACAGAGCCAAGACACACACACACACACACACACACACTCAACTTTCTCTGTCTTATTCCATTACTGTTTACTGTTGCTTTGGAGCCTCCTAAATAGGGCATTGAAAACACTTCCTGCAGCTGAAAGAAGCCCTGAGTAGCTTGTCTCATTCCCAGTGTGCAGCTCAGCAAGGGGTTCGTCCTTCTCTGTCACTGTCTCTTTTGCCTGTTGTTATTCCGTCTGTCTCTCTATGACTCTGCCTGTCTCACTCTTTCTGTTTCTGCCTCTCTTCACTGTTGTTCTTTCTGCCTGACTCACAGTCCCTTGGTCCTTCTGTCTTTTGCATTTGTCTTTGTTGTGCTTTCTTTTTGCCTTGACACCATCCGTTCTCCCCGTGCCTTCTCCACTTCTGGGAGGCTGAATCGCTCAGGCACGGAAATAGAAGCTAAGGGCTTCTCCTGGCTTCCTCTTCATCTTATTGAGGCTGCGGGTGAGGAGGGCCGCGGGTCCAGCAGCCACAGGTGGCCTACAGCCAAAGGAGGGCGGAGACCACAGGGCGGGATTGGCCCTAGGTCCACCTCATAAAGGCTAGGGCGAGGGGCTCGAGGCTTCTGCAGAAGCCCTGGAGGGGCTGTCTGATCCGAGAGACCCCACAGGCTTAGTCGGGGCTCTGCAGTGTCATGCCCCGGAGCCTCCAGACCGTGTTGAGCTGGGCGCTGTTGCTGCGGCTGCTGGCACTGCTGCGGCCCCCGGCGCTGGGCGAGGCGTGCAGCTGCGCCCCCGCGCACCCCCAACAGCACTTCTGCCACTCTGCACTCGGTGAGTCCGGAGGCCCAGGAGGTCCACAGCAGGGGGTGGTTGTGTGTGAAAGGTATGGGGCAGAGCTCTAGACCTGCAGTCTGGAGGGAAAGGGAGGAGCTCAAATCACGCACCGGCTGCCTCCGGTTGGGGCTGATGGGTAGGGCAAGGCCGGCACCATAGCAACCTTGCAAGCGAAGAGCCTAGCTGATTTGTAAGGAAATAAAGACTGTGTAAGGGGCCTCCATAGCGGCCCCCTCACCCCCGCAATTATCGAGAGTTATAAAACAAGTCACTGGAACTATCCTGTGATTATTCTGAACTACTGGATGGGGGAGGGGGAAGCCAGGGGCCAGGAGGTTGGGCTTTCATTATAAACATCCCTGTGTCCAAGCCTACAACTGAGCCATCAAGCACCCACCCCAGTACACTCTGAAGGCTTCCTGACTCCTTGGTGCTACCACAGCATCTCTAACATCTTTGTGCTCCTACTATGCTGTGTTGCTGTTCTTCGTGTGTTCTCCATAGACCAAGAGTTCTGTAGGATGGGAGACCCTGTCTTAATTATGTTTATGACTTGGTACCTAGTGTTAGGCCAGGCACAGAGGAAGAACTTCATAAATAGTTTTTTATTAATAACCAAATGGCAAAAGATGAACCACCTTGGTGCAGGGTCAGATCATTTGTTAATTCAATAAACATTTACTAATAGAAATGCTGGGCAGGCTCTGTTTTAGGCCTTGAGCTACATCAATAGATGACCACACTGACTACCCTCAAGGGGCTTCTCCTCCCTCCTCTATACTGATACCCAGCTCCAGCCCCTGGCACCCTGGGCTATGGAGAGCCAGACCCTCAAAACTAGCAGGTAAAAGTGTGATTGTAGGACCTAATAGGCCTGACTGCACAGGAGGAGTTTCTAGGTCCCCTTTCTCTCACACCCTCCTCCTCACAATCCAGAATTCACTACAAAATTCTCCAGGGGCTCCAGGTCATCCAGATCCCAAATGGATTGCTCCCACATTTCGCTGAAGGTTCCCTCTTTTGCTTCCTATGCAGCGATCCGGGCAAAAATCTCCAGTGAGAAGGTAGTTCCAGCCAGCGCAGACCCAGCTGACACTCAAAAAATGATCCGGTATGAAATCAAACAGATAAAGGTACATGGGGACAGGACAGTGCTTTTACCCCCTGGGCTTCTGGGAGGAATGGGGTCTGTGTTCTGGGAAAGGTGGGGCTCGTAGGTCAGGCACCCCAGCTCAGTGATCCTGGGTGTAGATGCTGAAGTGGAAGTGGATGGCATGTTGGGAGCTGGGCCCACAGATTCTGAATGACAGTGCAGGGCAGGCCCTCAGTGTCCCTCTGGTCCTAGAGCTGCCTATGCATGGGGCTGTTGGAGGTTCTTCCCCTCTCCCTGGAATAAAACAAGGTTCAGATTTTTTTAAAGAGAGAAATGATCCAATTGGGCCACCTGTGTGCATCAAATCCTGAACTAGATGTTTGCTCAATTTTTTTAGATTGAGAAATGAGAAGTTTTTCCAGTTAAAATATAAAGTTCACTCACTGACTCAATACTGCTTTTTTTGTAATTGCCTTTCAGATGTTTAAAGGGTTTGAGAAAGTCAAAGATATTCAGTATATCTATACACCTTTTGATTCTTCCCTCTGTGGTGTGAAACTAGAAGCTAACAGCCAGAAACAGTATTTCTTGACTGGTAAGTTAAAGAGCAGCAAGTGGCCCCAACAGTCTCTGTCCTAAGGAAGACAGCCAAGGAGGGAGCCAGGGCTGTCTTTGGGCAGCAAGTTGAGCAGGTGACATATTCTTGGGCATAAAACAGAGCTGTGTTACTAAGAGACAACCTCTGAGTTGGGAGAGGCCTTGGTAACCTCCCTTTCAATGCAAGAGTCCTCGTTACAGTGATCTTGGCCACTGCTTCACTATTTTAGGGACAGGTTGCTCTTCCAGACTAGGGCAGGTGGTTCCATTTTCAAACAGTTTTAATTGGCACAAGATTTTTGGTATCTTGAGCCCAAATCTGCCCCTCTGAAACTGCCCTTTGTGGATTCAGCTCTGCTCTCTTCTCTATGATGATCCCTCAGAGGCATGAGGACAACAGATGCAAGCACTCTAACTCCAGGTCTGCTGGCCATGGTTCCCAGCCCCTCCTATCCTGGCCACCTTCTCCAATGGGATATAGCCTATCCCTGTCCCTTCCCTAGCACAGGACAATGAACTGGACACAACACTACAGGAGAGGTCTTAATTTCACAGAGTAAAGAGAATTGTGTGTGTGCGATCCCCAACACACACAATGTAGTCACTGTAGCCTTTGATGGCATTAGCTTTAGACAGTCACATTGGGTCACACTCTTGACTAATAGTGAGCCTGTGTGCCTAACTCACACCCCAGGCCCTATTCTAGGGGTACAGTAAAGCACAAGCCCTAACAGGAGACTTGAGTCTAACATGGTTCTGTCTCCATGAACTTGGGCCCAGGTAGGTCTCCTCCTTGCTGAGTTGGTTGGGATAGAACAGTTAAGAACTATAGAAGACTATGACTCCATAAGTGAATGAATGCAATATATATTATTTTATACTTCACGAAGAAGGTATTTTATAGTTCAAGAAGAAGGTGATGAACAGTTAGGGAAGATTTATTACATAAGTGAGATCTAGATTAGTCCTGAAGGATGAAAAATACTTACAAAGGTGAGGAAAAGAAAAACACAGCAGACAAGGAGACCAGAAGGATGAATTCCACTATCTGTCCATCCATTCAGCAATGAATGACCATCTATTTGCTGCCAGGCCTTGGACAGGAGAGTGGGGTCTCAGTAACAAGGCACAGTCCTCAAAGAGCTCACAATCCAGACATGGCTCTTAAGAACTCATAAGCATTGAAGGACACACTGGTAGGGGCTCCCAGCTCCAAGAATGTGGAATTGTGCTGATCTGGGAGCCTCTGGATGGGAGAGGCAGAGGCAGAACATGCCACTGAGACCTCCACATCCAAGGACTAACAGATAAGGCCACTGCCTTCCTTCCTAAGCACCTACTTTCTGTGTGCTTAGGTCTCTGCTAGGCACTGTGGTACATCAGTCAAAGCAGGAGGCATGCTCTTTGCCCTCAAGGAAGTCAAGTCTAACCGAGGGTGAAGATAAGTGACAAAACATGGGTATAGTGAAAAGTCATCAGTGGCATCCATGCTCTTCAAGAGAAGGCACAAGCTCTTCTGCGTCATGGTGAAAGCCCTTTGTGACCATAACACTGCTGACCTCTCTAGTTTTGTCTCCTGCCACTTGTCACTGACAGTTTCCAGCTACATTTTCCCAGAGCTGAACTAAACTACTTGCAGTTATAGAAGGTATTTGGCTGGACTGCACCCCTCCACCTCTGCACAGGATAGTCCCAATATCCAGAAGTCTCTCCTGCAAATTGTCTGGCAGGTAAACTCCTAACCATCCCTTCAAGGCCCAACAGGAGCATCATCTCCTCTTAGACATCTTTGTTGCCCCTACCCCTTCCATAGACAGGGATAATTGTGCTTTCCTTTGTTCTTATACTGCATCTTTTTATATATATATCTATCTTTATTAATTTCAGAGAGAGATAGAAACATCAATGATGAGAGAGTCATTGATCAGCTGCCTCCTGCATGGCTTCCACCGGGGATCGAGCCCGTAACCCAGCATTTACCCTGATCGGGAATCAAACCGAAATCTCCTAGATCATAGGTCAATGCTCAACTGCTCAGCCACACCAGCTGGCTTATACTGCATCTTTTATATAAACACATAGCAGTATAATTTTTGCCTACTTATCTGTCTGACCTACTTGTTTTTAAGCTCCTTGGGGGCAAAGATCCTGTCATATTTATTTCTGTATTCCTGTTCTAATAGTTGCTCAGTAAGTAAATGATTGAGTGACTAAAGTTCTAAGAGATGTGGGCTAGCATGGTCAGGGGTGGCTTTGAGGATGAAGTGGTACTGAAAAGGGTCTTTGGAAGATAGGAGAGTTTGATAAGTAAAGAAGGGGCACTTTCCTAAGGGAAAGGGGAAAGATTTAACCGATATAGGTATCAATGGGGCAGAAGACTGGCCTATGTAGATACTAGGAAAGGTTGGAAAGGGAAAGGGACCTAGTATTTATTGAACATCTTCTATGAGCTCCCATCTACTGTGCTTGGAGCTTTACAAATATTCTCTCATTTAATCCTGACAATAACCTTATTATTCTCATCTTCCAGGTGAGAAGTTACATGACTTTCTTAAAGTCACACAGCTAGTAAATGATAGAAAAGGGGTTTCACCAAGAATATCACTTTAAAGCCCATGTTTTCTCTGCATCATACTAAAGGAAAAGGCCTTTATCCCACAACTCTCCTTTGTACAAACATAATCTTTGATATAAAGATTACAGAGGTTCTTCTGGTCCCTTCACTGAGCCCCATGTCACCACTGCCACCAAAAAAATATTGAAGAGGCTGCAATTCTGGGCTCTTCAAGGACCCAGGCTTCTGGAGCTTCACAGACTCCTCATGCTATGTTCTCCTCTATCTCCCCTTGAAGGTCAGGTCCTCAATGATGGAAAAGTCTTCATCCATCTGTGCAACTACATTGAGCCCTGGGAGAACCTGTCCTTTTTGCAGAGAGAAAGTCTGAATCACCACTACCATCTGAACTGTGGCTGCCAAGTAAGACAATGTGCATTTCCAAGGTCTTTTGTGGGTGGGAAAGGGTCTTTAAGCCTCACCTTTAATGTATTCCTTCCTTCATGCATGTGTTTATTCATTTACTATAGTATTCTTGAGATCTGCCATGGATCAGGCACTGTATGAAGTTGGAGTTAGGAAAGCAAGATGGTCCATAATCCCTGATCTCAAAGTACTTAACATTTTGGTGGGGAAGGCAGCCATCATATAAGGCAAACTGAAATAGTATAATTACCATTCAAACAAAATCTACTCTAATGGTCAATTTATTTAAAATATTTTAATGTAGTCTTTATAACAAATGTATGAAGAATTAAGATTTTCATTTTAAGGTAAAGAAATTAATGCTCTAGAAAGTAAAGTAACTTGTTCAACGTCAGTGATAGAGTAAGGACCCTCAGGTTGGTCCATAAATGCCATTTGAGAGGCAATACTATGGTAGGAGCACAGGGGAAGGAGAACTTAAGGAATTTTGGAGACTGGGAAAGGCTTCATAAGGCAAGGGCATTTGAGCTAGGCTGTAAGGATATGTATGAGTCTGAAAAAAATTATAGAAAAAGGACACCATACTCACTTTGATGTTGTGTGGCTATGACTCTAGATTACCACCTGCTATACAGTGCCCTGTACCATCTCGGTCCCCAACGAGTGCCTCTGGACAGACTGGCTGTTGGAACGGAAACTCTATGGCTACCAGGCCCAGCATTATGTCTGCATGAAGCATGCTGATGGCACCTGCAGCTGGTACCAGGGACACCTGCCCCTCAGGAAGGAGTTTGTTGACATCATCCAGCCCTAGTAGGGAACATGACCACCACATTCCTTCAGGAGTCATGAAGACCAGGCCAGTTCTCCTTCCCTGCAGAGGTCTGGCTATCACCACCTGCCTCATTGCTGTCAGACGACAGGAAGTACCAAGGGGACAGTCTGTCTAGCATTAGAGCAGGGCTGGGATATGTTATGGCTTGTGTCTGAGACCCCAGCCCAGAATCCATCAAAGGCTAGGGAAAGTAGCATGACTTTTCTATCCTGCCCTCAGCCCTTCCCTCCTGCCTCCCAAACCCTTTTAGTCTAGCTAGTACCTGTTACTAAAAGTTTTGATTCTGGCTTAGAATCAAAATAGTTCTGGCCAGAACTATTCCCTTTTCTCTCTAGGAAAATGAATTTTGTCTTACCTTAATTGATCTGACAGGGAAGAAATGGTGAATGTTATACATATGAGATGATATAGCCATCTGATGTACAATACCAGAAGACAGGTTGACAGAATCATAAACAGGCTGATTTGGAAGAATGAAAAGAGCAACCTACTATGGCTGTGTATCATCTACTCCAATCTCAGCTCATCCTGATCCTCTCTTACACTTTCATCTGTTTGGGGAAGTGACTTGCAGGGGCATAGAGTCACTTGATATGAGACCTACAAAGGCCTAACTTCCCTCTACACGCTGTAATATCCTCTATACCATTCCTGGGAAAGGGTCTGGCCCCCTAGTACACCTCTTTGGATAAGAATAGGTATTGTCTCTGCAGGTTAACTATCCTTAATGCCTTCAACTGATATCCATAAGGCTTCTTTTCTGCTTCTTTTAGAAAGTACTTCTCTACTAGACTACTAATGTCTTCATTCCTACTTCAAAAATTTTTTTAAAGCCTTTCTCTTGTAGAGTTGAAATTTCTCTTTAGATTTTGATACCTCAGAGAGATCTTAGGGGGTCTTCTTTTGAGGGAAAATTTCAGGATAGAGGACAGGAAAGAAATAACACAAGGGCCTTGGGGGAAAAGGACAGCAGATGGAGAATATACTTTGCAATTTTTTCAAAATTTTTAGTGGTCAGCCCTGCTAAATATTACAGCAAGAAAAATCCGGCTTTGCTCCCCAGCCTCCCTTCAGTTCAATCCCCTTATCACTGTGTCTTGGGTTCCCTGAGAACTCCAAGCGTAGACCCCTTACCCTGATGTTGGTCTCAAGGATTTATTACAGACAAGGGCTTAAAGTTACAGAACCCCTCCCTGGGGAAGCTCTGACAAAGATGAAGAAGGTAGTTCTATTCAGGGCCTAAGGTTGTTATTCATCTTCTATGTGTTGTTTGATGATAAGCAAGGCCATGTGCAATACGCCAGAAGAAGGCTCTGAGCCACAGAAATGGTACAAATGGAGATCCTCTTTGGAGAAGGGAGTGAGAGGCTAATAAACATAATCTCTGTCCCAGGGTACACTTGGAATGCTAATGGCAGAGAGTCTCTATTGGCGAATTAAGCACAAATACCAACTGACCATGCCGGCCTAGGGCAGAGGGTGTGGGGACAGAGAGGAAGAAGGGGGAATGAGCTCCAAGTCTCCATGGAGGAAAAAACAACCAGCCATGCCATCTCTCTCCTCCTGATATCCTAGGATGGCCTCAGAGAAGGCATAATGTTAACCTAGTCTTTTCACAATCTTGACAAAGCCAAGGGAATGGAAATAGCAGAGACTAAAGTCCCCACTCGATCACCTACCATCTCTTTGTGGTTGGGGTAGTATGTCTGCTCAATGAGTGGGAACTTTTCTCCTCCCAATGTCTTGTAGATGGCCACCAGCTGGGCAAACTGTAAAAGAGAAGCAAATGTTTCAGCTTATCTAGACAACTTATAGAACAAACAGACAAAACCACAATCTATCAAAAAATATTTACTGAGCATTTGCTCTGTTGAGGGATTTGTGCAAAGTGCTCTGCAGATATAAAAGAAGTATACAATTCCTATTCTCAAGGAATGTATTTTTTAATTGAGGAAAGGAGAGAGTGAGCTAACATTCATTCAGTACCTATTCAATTATTAATGATAATTCATTGAACCCTCATATTAAATTGAAGAACTGGGTACTTTATAATTTCATTTTACATATGAGACTCAGAGAGGGTACGAAAGTTGCCTAAAGTCACAGAGCTGCAAAGAGGTAAAGTTGAGATTGAAATTTGGATCTCTAATTCTAAATAACTGCATCTCTAGAGATGGCAAGTGATGAAGCTGCATAGGTAACATGGGGCCAAGTCTTGAAAGTTCAAATGTCAGGCAAAGGAATGGTATATTTTCCTTAGAGACAGTATGAAGTCATCAGAGTTTGAGTAGGGTGCTCATGAATGAAGCTGTTCTTCAGGAAGATTTTGATGGTCTTGGTATATAGGAGAGACAGACCCATTCTTTCTGGGATTTACTACTCATCTAGAACTGAACTCAGCTGGACCCTTCACCTATGAGAAACCAGGACAGCTCCACGAGGAAAAGGTGAAGTACACATACTTACAGTGTCAGGGTTGAAAGGCCTTTGGCAAATCTCCCAGTTTTATAAGTGAAGAAACTGAAGCCCAGACGGGTCATACAGTTGAGCCAGATTCATAGCCAGGCCCCTTTATTCCCAATGCATAACTCTTTCTATTCCTCCAAGTAGCTGCCTTTCAGGCTCTGCAGAAACCATGCTCTTCCCACAGGAAACACACAGTACTTCCCTACTAATTCCATTCACACACACACCCCCACACACATCTATTCCCAGTGCACTGACAGCAGGGGTAATCCAGCATCCTTTCCTCTAATGCTACTGGGTTACTTCACAGTCTAAGGCACCGATTTCTGGAATTGCTAGAAGGGAAAGTTGTCAGATCAAACCTGCCTTCTATCTTTCAGAGAAAGGAAAGATAGAATATTTTTCAAAAACTCAGATCCTATTCTCTATAAGGGATGTTGGAACATGAGCCAGTGGGGGAAAGGGGACTGGAGTAATAAAAGCTCAGAACTGGGTTATTAGAAAACTGGAGTCTTCTGATTCTTGTTCTGTCTCTAACTTGCTAGTTGTCCTTTGGCAAATGATTTCTCCTCTCCAGGCCTCATTTTCTTTATACATAAAATGAGAGAATTGAATTTTATCAGTTCCTCAAACTTTTTACCAGATACAACATCTTTTATTATATTTCCTCCCAAACCCCATCATCAAACTGCAGTTTAAGTGATCATCTGTTGTTGTCCTTTTGTGAGCAAAGAGATTTTTTTTATTGTTTTTGAAATATTGGAAAATGTTGAAATTTCTGGATCACTTCCCTTAGTGACATATGGTTGGTGACTCTAGATCTTTCAACGTCCACCAGGACTGAAAGTATGATTCATGGACTCTCAAGTCCCCAAGATGTTGTTACTGAAGGAGACTTTAGAGAGCTCTGGACCAAACATTTCCTTTTACAAATGAGGAGACTGAGGCTAGAGAAGAGAAGGAAAGCCTCAGCTCCCAGACTATGCCTAGAATTGGGGCTCCCAGGTCTCTTCTGGCTTATTGCATTCTTCGTTGTATCCTGCTGTTCTCACCATTCTATGGTTCTTCAACTTGCTTTGACTATCAAAACCAACCCCTCATACCTTTCCTGCCTTCTCTGATTCTCTCTACAACCTCCTCTGATCTTTAAGTCCTGCCTGCCCACCTCAGCCTGGCTAGACTCCTGTTCTAGCCTGAGCTCCCAAGGCTCTTCAGCATCCCGAGCCAGCTCTGCTTAACAACCTCTGTCCTGCAGCAGCCCACGTCTTGGCACAGCACCAAGGCATGTGGGTCCCTATCTTCCCAATATGTGGGAGAGTTACACAGGCACCACACTGATGCCAGGAAGGCCCACGGCCTACTCCCAGAGTCCTGGGACAGCCAAGACTAAAATGGTAGCCAGTTCCCAGGCACTAGTTGGGCCCCTGGTAGCTCACCCTATCCTTCTCAACCCTATCTCCAGCAGTCTCTGTATGCTCAAGGTACTGGGCTTGGCGTCTAACCCCTGCCTTCTTGGAAACTTAGATTAAGTCACAAGCACACAGTCACCAATTAAACAAATGTAATATCTGATAACGGTTGTTTCCTCCATCCATAGAAAAAAAGAATGGATTTGGGACCTGGGGGTGGTATTGGGAACAAATAGGAAGATGATGTTCACTGTAACCACTTATCCAATGAATCAGGAAAGACTTCTTGGAAGAGATGAGATTTCAAGATCAGTCTGAATTTAATAATTTACCCTCATTCCTCCTGGAAATAAAATACTTAATTCAACCACAGTAGATCTGTCTCTAAAAAAACCTAAAAAGAGTGACAGAGATTTCAGATAAATTTGCAATATGATATGGAGATGTTATTTCTTTTTCTGGAATGTTACATTCATTGATAGGTCTACTTCTAGTTCCAAAATCCCAGTGTGCCCGCCCTGACCAATTTATGAGATAGCAGATGTGCTCAGAGACACAGTGATGTAAGGTAGAGATTTTCCAGCCAACTGAGCCTTTCCTCACACCAAGGATACCCACAATAAAGAAATTAAGGAAATATGAACCAAAGCCATCATCTCAGAGGGACCCCTCCCCTCATAGTCACCAAATTTGTCTACTCCCATTAACAGGCAGCGACAATATATAAAATGCCATTAGTGTGGCAGCTGCTTAGTAAAAATGAAGGGAGAACTTGGTGTCTAGCCAGGGAGCCCTGCTGTTCTCATGCGATGCCAAAGGCAATGTGCTGGGATTGTGAATGGGTGAGAATGTGAACCCTCACCAGATACCAGATCCCAGGAGGGACAAAGCCCCAGGCATAGGCTCTCTGATCCTCCCCTCCCTGCCCTCTGGCACAGTTTTGAAACACAAAGCAGGGAACCAGCTTCTATAAGAGACCCCAAATACTAGGGGACTGTAACAACCAGGCTGGCAAACTGGTGGCAGGTACTACTGTTACTAGTTGACAAAGAAACCATGGCATAGTCAGAAGGCTGATTAGTGAAATCACCCAAAAAAAGCTGATAATAGCAGAATCACCCTGTGTGGCTATGAAGGAGCCAAATTCTAGCAGGTATTGAAGGGATGGGGGAAAGGACTAGGGCATATGTGTAGTAGGGAAGGGCATGTGACTAAAGAGAAAGGGGAGGACCCCAGAAAAGAAGCTTGGTGAAGGCTTCATATGTACTCTTCTGCAAGTAGCAACAGTCAAATCACACAACTCTTTTAGCCTGTTTCTGTAAAACTTTAGGATTCCAGATGCCTCAGGCCACACAGAGGGAAAGGCTGAACAAGTGGAGGTTGGGAACCCAAACTCCTCAACCACAGCAGCTCCCAGATCTCTGACTCCTCATTCATTGCTCTTTCTCTTATACTGTCAGATCTTCCTAGCTTCCAAGGGAACAGGAAAACTGTGAGTTCAGGTATGAAAAAAAAGATCAAGAGCAGAGGCAATGTATCTATTTGGTTAAAAAACACCCCCTTCAGTTCCCTGAATGGTGGAGAGGAGTAAGGTCCAGGAACTTCAAAATCAGCCACCAGTGCCATGACTCTTGGCAAGCCAGTGTGTGATAACTGAAATGTGATTTTTTTAAAATAAAGAATAGGAGGATGTGATTAGGAGCAGGCATTTCCTTCTGAGAGAGCCAGCATGGAGCAGCAGAGTTATAGGAGCTGGGTTGCCTTAGCTGTCAGAGGGGAGGCCAGAGCACCTCAGTAGCCATCATAGGTCACTCTCCCCTGTAGTCCCAACTCTTTCTCTCTGCTCAGAAGTTTCCACTGCCTTCTACATTTCCAGACTGGCCAAGGAAGAGAATACCAGCTTCTTCCTCACATAGTAACTTATGTGAGTGGCAGTGTAATCTAGAGAAATCCTGGCTCTATAACTTTGGTAAATTACTTAATCTTTCCTGGGTCTCATTTCTCTGTAAAAAGTGATAATAATTATAATAATCTTCCTTGTAAGGTTATTGTGAGGATTAAATAAAATTAAATAGGAAAATCTCAGAAGTTGGCACCATATACTCCTTACTTTCCTTTTTTAGTTTTCATATATCTACCATGAACGGTGGAGATTTGATGATCTCTAAGGGCACTTCCAGCTCATATAAGTGTCTGATTCATATGTTTATAGATAAATATGATTTTGAGGTTGTTAAAACACTTGGTAAGACATCTGTCACTAACACCCCTCTGAGATGGATCATTCCATTGATCCCCACAGGCCTCAGGCCTTTCCAATAGTTAGACCATTCAAAGGCAAGAAACAGGTATTTTTATTGTTGCATCCTATGGCTGAGGGCAGAGTTTACAGACTTGTAAGGGCTTCTACACAGAATCTTGGTGTGACTTTGTTGTGAGGCCAAAGGTCCACTGTGCAGCTAAGGTGCCCCGGCCAATGATGATAATGTTTTCTTAAGAGAGTCTACCCTTCCCGTGCCCCAGCTGAAGCTCTGCCTACATCCTTTCAGATGGTGCCTACTGCATCTTCTTTACCAGTGGTCCCTCCCTGCTGGGGGACTGGGAGATATAGGACCTGGATCCTACCCTTTTACCTGGGGGGAAGGGGACCTCACTTACCACCCATGGCTTGTCACAGAAGTTGTAAATGGATTCAAGTGAATTGATGCTGGGGAGGCCTGCATACTGCATGCCAATGATCAAGTGGCGGAAGTCCTCATTCTCCGCCATGCCAAATGCATGCTGCCGGATAAGCACGAAGTCTGGCCGGAAGGACCTGGTAAGAGTGTAGAGGCAAATTTGCCATTAACAAGCACCTTAGGTTATACATCACCTTGTCTCCCATTTCCAAAGCCCAAGACAAAGAAGGGGCCTTAGGGGCCACCTGGTCCAAGTCCCTTATTTTACTATTATGTATTCTTTATAAACTAGAAATGAAGTATCATGGCACATCTCAAAGGAGATTTGAGAAACATATTTCTAAAATGCCCTTATTCCTCTGGGTTAAGCACTGAGTTTTTTCTAAGCTACAAATGCCCTCAGGAGGGAAGAAACACTTTTAGATCCTCACACCTTAAGTGAAAAAGAATTTTCCCTGTCACTATGGGGCAATATAAAAGCTGAAGCTCTTTGCGGCTCTGGAATTGGTGTTCCAAGGGGGTCCCAGCAACAATGTCCTGTTTTGACTCCATAAAGCTGCTCCTTAAAATAGGCAATGCCCTTATCAGGCCCCCAGGAGAGCAAGAGTTCGGTCTGGCTGAGACCAGATGCCAGACTTCCCAATGTTATTCTTCCAAAGCGGACACTAGGGAGAGGTGCAAATATTTTTTTTGCAGAACTGAGGTTGAGCAATGGCTACAGGAAGCACTGAGAGTACAGAACGTTCCCATGCATGGGGAGGCTCCCTGCATTTCACCTCTAGCCAGCAAAAGCTCTTAGCCACAGCTGCTCCACAGGACCAGGGCCCCTGTCTTCGTGCCCTTACTCTTGAGGAAACTCATATTCTCAGAGACTCAATTCGGTGGCAGCATCCACCCTCAAGGCTCTAGTACTTGGCAGTTTCACACCATATCTGGATCTACCTGGTTCTCTGCCCAGGCACTCATCCAACCTCCACCTACAGCTNGCAATGATCTACCTGGTTCTCTGCCCAGGCACTCATCCAACCTCCACCTACAGCTCTAACCTCACCCAGGCTCAAAGATCAATCTTTTAAAGTGGGACTGGAGCCCTCCTCAGTCACTCAGGAGACTTAGCATCAAGTGCTTGAGCTGTTCTGACCTCCTAGTTCCCCAGTTTTGGGAAACTGGCTCCAGCTCTATGCCTAAAATCAAACCTTATGTCCCAGTTATAGGAATTAAGCCCTAGACTTGTGGCCAGCTCTTAAGTTTCTATACTGGTACCTGGAAGGGCCTGCCTTATTCTTGCCAGATTCCTGTCACCACCTGCTTGTGTGCAGGCATCCCTATGACTCACTCTACCTGCAGCTTGAGAAACCCATTATCTCTCTTGTAGGATCTCCCCGATCTCCCTCCCATATGGACGGACATCTCTTTCCCTGTCCTCCTCCTTAGTCTCCAGGGTGGACGAACTCAGGATGGACAAGCTCACATTTCCTGTTGTTAGATTCCAGGCACCTGAGTTTTACCTTTCCTGTCACTGGCCCAGTTCCTATTGGACACTGGAGGCCTCATGTCAGGGTACTGCAGATTGATACAGGGAACAGAGTGAAGTGAAGACTCTTCCTGGAGCAAGATTCTGACATCTGAAAACCTGAAGCCACACTGAGCCCCTGTAAGAATAATACTGTGGAAATCATTTCCCCCAATCTGGAATTCTTATCACCTCCCTCACAGAAATGTTGTATTACATTTGATCACATCTGTAAATGCACAGCACACTACCTGGCATGTAAGTGCTCTGTAATTGAAAATTTTCTTCCACCCACAATGTTCCTTCTGACTCTAGGTTTTCCTATCAGAGTTATGAGTTCCCAGGGATGAGGAATATAGAAAGAACACAGGACTAGGAGTTAAGAGAATTCACATAGAACACAGGGCTCTGCTACCAACTCACTGAGTGAATCTAAGCAAATCAATGTAAAATAGGAGGTTGAACTAGATCAGAGGTTTTCACACTTCTTTTTTTTAAAGCAATAGAATCCCTATTTCCAGGGAAAATATATGCAGAGATAAAAGCACAGAGCTGCACTGGCTGAAGTGGGGCTAAAGTCCTGGAACCCCTCTGACAGGAATCCATTTACCTCTAAGTAAGCTCTTAGTCCATGAAGCTTTCTCTGCCACTGGACTATGAGCTCCCTGAGGCAGGAGCTGGTTTTTCTGCCTTCCTGTACCACTTCTGCACAGCACACATCATTAAGTTCTATACACTATACATAGCGCTATTATCCCACTCCAACACTTGATTTTGAAACTGCCTCTGCAAGCCAGAGATGGTAACTCTGGAGACAGTGACAGTAACCCCGAGGAGAGAAAGGACCTTACCGGACAACCTTTGTGCCATTCCGGAATACCTGCATATCCACAGCACAGGTCCCATCTGCATGGGCCACCAGGTTGAGCTCTGAAAATTCTGCCTGGAAAATAACAGTAGGGATTAGGAAGGTAATTTCATGTTATGTGTTTTTTACTATGGTACAAAAAGTAAATAAGAATAACAGTAGAGGAATAAGTCCATAGTCCTAACTTTGCCAAGTCCTCCACATAGCAACAACATCCCATTGCCAAACATTTTATTTACAGTTTTCAAAGCATTTTCACAAACTGATCTCATCTAACTCATAGCAACTCTATGAGACAGGAAGAACAGAGATAAGGAGCAGGTAAGCGACTTTTCTAGACAAAAACAAAACAAAAAACTTATTGTTGGCAGTGACAGGAGCAAAATTCAGGTCTTCAGACTCCCAGCCCAGCATCCTTAGTGCTGCCTCTCTGAGAGCAGGAACGTGAACCAGGGAAAACATGCCCTTTATCAGTTTCAACATAAAAGCACTATGTTTTAGACTAGGTAACTGAGTTTTAATTCTGCTCTACCCCCAACTAGCTGCATATGACATTAGGCAAATTACTGATACTCTCTGGAGGGAAAGTTTCTCCCATGTATAAAATGGGAAAAACTTTGCCCTGGTTGGGTGGCTCAGTTGGTTGGAGTGTCATCCTGTACACCAAAGGGTTGTGGGTTCAATTCCCAGTCAGGGCACATACCTAGGTTGTGGGTTCGATCCCCAGTTGGGGTGCACATGGGAGGCAACTGATTAATCGATCTCTCTCTGCCCGCCTTCCTCTCTCTCTAAGAATCAATAAAAACATATCCTTGGGTAAGGATTTAAAAAGAGAGAAAATTTTGATCAACACTGCCTATCTAACAACTTATTTTAAGATCTGAATACAATGCAATAATGGATAGGAAAGTACTCTGTAAATCACAGCATACTGTGTAAGGAATGATGAGTAACTTCTATTATTACATAGAAAATACATGCATTGTTTAAACTGCACGCCCCTTCCCTCTCTACCCAAATGGATCTAATTTCTATTTATCATGAAGCAAAGAATAGAGGAAGATTAAAAAATGAGCCTTTCAGAACTTCACTGCATTAAAACAAGGAGGTGTTCTTTTCTAAGTTCTCTCTGAAGTGTAGCCTCAAGCCCAGAGTAGTCACCACTGGAGGCCACAAACCTGAATGGCAAACGTGTACTACCCAGGAATTACATGCCACCAATAACATGGAGCTGAGGCCAGTGTCCTGGGAAGACAATCCTCTAAGGTTTTCCTCAGCAGGAGAACTTTGCACTGCATGAGGACCCTAAGAGCCACACTATTTACCTCTCTATGGACACCAGAACCATGATAAAAAGTTGGAGAAATTGAAAGATACAGCCTTCAGGACTATGTTCCATAGAAAGAAAAGCCCTGGGGAAAGGGTGGGGTTGAGGAGATAGCCTGGAACCCAGTGAGGGGCACTGTACTCCACTCAGCAGAACTAGATGGTTCACTCTGGAATGACAAGAGGGATTGATGATGATGCAGATGCAGCTCTGGGCTTCAGACTGATTACCTGTTCCACTTTGATATCATAATCTCCAAGGACTTTTTTGCCCCGAAAGCACTTGGTCCTGGAATTAGAAAACACACACACAAACAAATTAGGCTTGTACAAGTGTTTGAGGTCAGAAATTCACTATCACAAAGAAGAGCCTACAGGAGACAGAACCCCAGAATGATAGTCAAGAGACTTGGGTTAGGGTTAGAGCCTAATTTTGTGATTGAGAGCCTCAAGCAAACCTCTACCCCTCCTTTATATGTTTCAACTTACCCACCTATAAAATAAATCAAAGCACCTTTTCACTCTCAGGTTTTGTAATTTTATAACATCTCTGGTCTTTTGGGTACCAAAGAAATCTAAAAGTAGGAATTTCCCTAATATTATTCCTGGTAAAGACAAAGTCAATCTTCTATAGCTTCCTTATTTTCCCCCATCTGGTATTTCATTTTGATTTTCTAGTTGGTTTCCACCTTTGGAATTTTACTTTTAAAGAAACTTATCAATTTGCTTCTTCATACCCATACTTCCAAAAAGAATGTGAGGCTACCAGGAAGAAAAAAAAAAAAAAAAGAGAGAGAGAGAGAGAGAAAGAGAGAAGCTTGCTGAGTAAAGCTACTATAATTGAACATAAAACCTATCCTGTATTTCTGAGCAGTCAAGAAAATGAGTCAAGCCCTGGCTGGCTAGCTCAGTTGGTGAGAGTGTCGTCCCAGTACACCAAGGTTGTGGGTTCGATCCCTGGTCAGGGCACATACAAGAATCAACCAATGAATGCACCAATAAGTGGAACAACAAATTGATGTTTCTCTCTCTCCCTCCCTTCCTACTCCCCCTGCCCCAAGTCAAGAAATAATTTTTTTAAAAAGAAAGAAAGAAAATGAGTCAAGCTGCAGTACAATATTTATTATCTTTCCATTTTGTCATGGGTCTGGAGGAACCTCACATTAATGCATTAATGGCTTCAAAGCCTCTTGTAAACAGACTGTGTTGTGCTTATATTTATGTCCATTCCTGCTTTGTCCTTAACCTATCCTCCCTGCCATAAGATTTTCCTATCTGCATACTTAGGCTGGTTCTCCATTTGTAAGAAGTGTCTTTCCATACTGCCTGTTAGCTTGGCTTGCTTTCCCAGTGCTTGAAATTTCAAATTAGCATGTTTCAATGGAGATTTTCTATAAGTACCTCTCCAAAATAAAGGAATAAATTAACATATTGGGCATCAAGTTCTAAGAACTGTGTATTAGTTACTTTCAAGAACATCTCATTTAATCCTCTTAACAATTTATGAGATAGGTAAAAAGGTCTTCATTTTTGAGATGAGGAAACCAAGATTCAGAGGAGGAAAATGGCATATTCTAGGTTGTAGGGCAAGTAAGTGACAGAGCAAGTATTCACACCCACGTCTGAGTCCAGAGCCCTTTTCACTGCATACTCCTGTCTCCCTCTGTTGATTCATTCTTCCATCTTTACTCCCACCATTACAAAAACTGACATGTCATGTGTGCTGCATTGCATGTTTCTCCCCCCATTTTCCTTCTTCCGCTCAAAAGGAACTTGATGTTGTGAGCACTAGAGTTCCACTACGAATACTTCCTACCCTGGTTCCTGTGAACTACCCAGGACGAGGCCAAGCTATTTCCTTTCCTCTGGGTTCTGGAACAGCCCGTTCTAGGAAGTTGTCATTTGTCCTATCCAAATCCCTGGCCACCCTCAAATTGCTCCTCAGAGGCACTCAGCCATCCTGGAGCTGAATCACTGAAGTCTATCCCCCCACCTCTGCCCTAATTCCTTACTAAGCTTCATCAGTTTGCTTCCAGGACCCTGTTCAACATTCATAGTTCAGCAAGCCCCTTGGGCAAGGGGCCTGTAGCATATCCTGTCCCTTTGGCTTCTGTTCCATCTTATTTCTGGGTTTAAAAAATAGTCTATGCATGGCACTATTACTACTCTGCAGATCTTGGACTCTGTAGGTCTTTGTCTAGGACTATAAAAAAGAGGAACTAGAATAAGTGACCCATGGGGTTCCTTTTTTGTGTTGGTTAGGTGTGCTACCTTGTTACCAGCAATGCTTTTTGGATGCTTCCTCCCATTTTCCATCTCAAAATAGCTCTCCTTCTATGAGGTAAGTCTCAGAGATATTAACAGTAACTCCTTATTCTGTATGATGCCTTGTATCTTCAAAGTACATTCCTTGCCTTATTTATTCTTTACAACTCTGTGAAGTAGCCAGAACAGATAGTGCTGTCCATTTGACCAAAGGAGAAACTGAAACCCAGAGCAGTCAAATAATATGCCCAGATCAGAGAAAAGTTCTTAAGAGTTAAACTTAGAACTAAGAGTTTACATCTAGGTGCTTATATGCTGCCAAGTTTTTTAAATCACTCATTTATTTTGTGTGTTTGAACACTAATATTGAAGCGTATTTATAGATTCTGGCTCAGTTTATCTGCCACTTCCTGCACCTGCCCATTGACCAAGTTGGCTAATGATACTGTTTTCATGCCTTCTCCCCACCCCCACCTCTCCAATTATCTTAATGCCTTTTCCTTAAGGTAATTTGTCCTGTTAGAAATCTTAGTCTGTATTTCCTGGCTCCAGGTCACTGACCTCTCTTGGCTGAGCTACAATCTTATAAAAAAGGAGGCAAGATGGCAGAAGTATGGGGCACAAAGCCTTCTTCTATAGAATGAGCACATTCTCCTAGCTGTTAGCCTTTGGATGTTTCGGTTCCAGGTATTTTCATGAAAAATTTTGTAGCTTACAAGCAAGCGACAGAAGTACTTCCTGATACTAAGAGCACTGTTAGGAGACAGTGTGCTAGAATCTAGAAGGGTTCTGGATCACGGGGCTCTGGAATCACAGTCTGGGTGGGCATCCTAGATGTGCCTTTTCCTGGCTATGCGACCTTAGGCAAATGGTTTAAATTAAAATATATATAAA